GAGCCAAAGTACATATGGTACATATATATGTACAAGTTGCACTGTACATGTCGCTGCACTTCCATTCGCAAAATCCATACACATGCACCTGCAGCCTCAGTCTGTTTCGAATGTCTCGAGCGGTGACAGTGACCAATTTCTCTTTGTCGAGATGGTGGTTAAGCTTTTTGTACTTCTTCTGCTGCTCCTAGCTGTGGTCCACGTGTTTCTTTTGAGGCGTTTGTGCAACTCGAGCTTCAACATGGCTGCGGAGATGGAAGCTTTCAACGCGAGCTTCCAGAGGTTCCAGATCTCAAAAGACAGCCTTCGGCCGCATTTGCCAGCTCGTAGATCTGAGTCTGGGGTAGTTTACAAGTCTCCACCACCGTCGACGGATCCAGCCACGTTTCCTCCATGGAACAACATCCCTGTGTCGAACCCAACCACAGCAGTGTTTCCAGAAGAGCTGGCTATGACACCTTGTGGGACTTCGTACCGCTTGCCGCAGTGCACCTACTTGACTCAGACTTCTGCCAAATGCAAGACGTAGACACCTTGCAAACGTTGCTACAAGGGAACTAAGGATATGTAAATATTGCGCTCAATTCAAGGCGCCCGGCTTTCCAAGTTTATTTCATTGAAGCCTTGCGCTTTGTGCTGCAGGCCACAGTGGGACTTGCGCTTGCTCTGCAGTCCAGTTTCCCCCTACTTATTAAGTTTTTGGTCCAAACTTGGAAAGTATCTGCAGCCTTGTCTCCTAACCTGAGATTTTGTGCAATGCCAGCTGGGCAAAAAAGGATAAAGTCGCTTGGTGGTCAAAGCAGAAATATGGACACGCATATCTCTAGTAAATTCAGCAGGCATTCATGGATTGATTGATGGATTGATTGATTAATTCTATACACTCATGCATGCCTCACATAGGTGTCCTTCATTCTGCATTGATCACTGTCAGTTGTTTTTTGTGTTTGTTGCATATCCTTGGTCTTCACTCACAAGGCATTCGTTCTCCACACTCACACATTCCTCACATGTGTACCCATCATTCTGCATTGATCACTGTCACTGTCAGCTGATTCTTCTGTTTATCACATACAAGCCCTGGAATTCACAAGACATTGGTTCTGCACCCTCATGTCATGCATTCCTGTGTCACACTCTGCATTGATCACTGTAAGTTGGTTTTTGTGTTTATGACACCCCTAGAGCAACACCAGGAATTGGCTCTGTACCTTCCTGTATTCCCCATATGCGACAAACATGCAAACTAAAGAAAATCAGGCTTATATAAAATACATTGTTTAAATCAATGTTTATTTATCTTTCATATTTTCCTTTTAGCAAAGCTATTTATTATTTCTTTTACTGGATTTTAAAAGAAAACTTTAACATTTTTGCAATTCGTTTTTTTCACTTTTTTCCTAAAAAGCAGCGGTTCTACTTAACCTCCAAAGGGCCAACCCAAAGGGCCAGCTGACCACGTGATGATGATTTAACAAAAACCACGTCCATTGAGACCAACTCGCGGTGTCGAGAAAAACCAAAAAAGTTAAGCCAAGCAAAGTGTAGCTGTATTGCAGATGGCAAACAGAATGTTTCAAATGTTACAGGGTCACTAGTGCAAGGAAAAGTAATTTCAACACCTGCATAGTTTAAAGAAGAGTTAACAAGCGCTGCGCGCATCAGATTCAATCAACGTGAATTGCAAAACTTTGAAGACACTTCAAGTGTTTAAAAGACCTCACAACCTTTGAAAACCATCTTCCTTGTTGGAATGAGAGACTGAACAAGAACCCTGAGCTTTGAGACTAACTAGCGGTGTTGGAAAAAAAACAAACGTGCTAAGGCAGGCAAGGTCGGGCAAAGTGCATCTACATTGCACATGGCAAACAAAATGCTTGAAATGATTTGGATCTGCATTGGATTCTTTTTCCATCCTTTTCCACTCACGCATCCTCACCTGCCACGCTTTGCACCCCTGCAGCGAGACCCGAGAGTTGTCGCAGGAAGGGTGGGATGAGGGCAACGAGATCCTCGTGCTGCAGGAGAAACGTGTCAGCCATTTCTGCGTCCTCCATTTCTGTGTAGTTGGAGCCGACTACAGCAAGGAAGGCCACAGGCTGCAAGGAGGCACTGGCAGAGCTGATGTCCTTCGCTGCTTGCAGCAAGGCTGCCTTTTGCATATTCTGGGCTTTGGCTTCAGTCACTGTGTTAGATTTAACCTGAACAGCCACAAATTTGCTCTGTTCTTGGCAGAAGATCAGAAAGTCAATAGCCTTGCAGTTTGGTGGGGCCATGATCACTAAGAAGGGTTGCTCCTTGCCCTTCTGTTGGCTCAGTTCCATGGCTTTTCCCAAAAATGACGCTAACTTCTCACCTGCATCAGCCGGGCTTTGCGTGGCAAGTTCCTTCTTCTGCGAGAGCGAATCATCGAAGCTGATGTCGCAAATTGTATTGCATGCGCTTTGGCTCTCTCTCAGAACTTGCGGCAGCTTCTTGTACTTCTTCACAATGGCAAACATGACAGCAAAAGCTGCCACGACCTCAGTGAAGTACGAGCTGGCTTGCTTCATGGTCTCCTCGTCGCTGCTCTCGTCAATGGCATCGACTTTGTTTTTGTATGCGCTGCCGGCCAAACCCTGGAGTTTAGCACATCTGGGAGGCATGTTCTTATCTCTTTTCCACACCGAAGTCAAGAAACTGGCTGCGTGCCATGAAGCAACAGTCGGCAGGTACAAGACTTGCATCCTCCCCCTCGAAACTGAATCTATTAGCACCCTCCCTTCGTAGGTGGCTTTAGGCATCAGGTTCGTAATGTCAAGCAAAGACCGAAAAGGACACCCTTGCTCTTCCCACATCTCTAACAAAGTTTCCAAATCCTTCGTGGAAAACATTGGGGGCAAGGGACGAACTGTTCCAAGGTGCTTCGTGGCCCTTGAGACAACTCCAGCTCTAAGACCTTCGCCAGAGTTGCTGACGTATTCAGCCATCTCCTCAATGGCCCGCGCATAGCCGCCAGTAGCTCCCCAGGACAGAGCACTTCGGTACTCCAAGATGCCCCTCTTGATACCTCTATTCTGAGGCAGCTGACGGAGCGTCTGGGATAAAAGGTCATTGGCATCAGTACCCAGCACTGTCAAAGTGCAAAGGTAGACCCCTCGATTGCTGCCCCTGAACATCTCCATAGCTGCTGCGTAGTTGGTAAGAGCAGACATGACGACAAAGACTTGGCCTCCCCAACGGTCCATGGCTCTGCAAAGCTCCTGCCGCACCAAAGCTTCGTCCTTCGACTTTCCCACCTCATCAGCCAGGATCACAACGGGACGGTCACCGTACCATCTACGCAGGATTTCCACAGCATCGATGTCAATCGAGTCAATCTCGTGAGACTTCCATGTTTTTAAGAAGTCACGCCACTCGCACTTTGTCCTGCTCATGTGCCTTGCAGCAACATAAAGAACCCGCAGCGCCAAGTCAGCCTTGAGATTCTCAATTTCATCTGTCATTCCAGAGTTGTAGGTGAAAGCCGAGACGATCGGTGTCTGGTTTCTGCCATCCAGGTCGTAGAGCATCGGAAGCTCCTCTCCGAGCGCGGCCAGGAAATGGCTCTTGCCTGCTCCAGGTGCCTGTGCCACCAGGATGGCTGGGGAGTCACCTTTGTCTGACCTACTTCGGCCAAACAATGTGTTTGACCTTTCCAGAAACATCTTCATGATAAGTTGCAGCTCCTGTTCACGATCTAGAAGCTTCGCCTTCATTACTTTTTTTTTTGAGGCCAGCTTTCCTCTGAATGGACCCCTGTCCAAGTCGACAATGTATGAAAAGGCTGACGAATAGTTGGCAAAAGTGTCATTCACCGGCACATATTCAAACAGCAGCGTTCCAAGAAGCTTTGCCGCTTCAGTGTCCGAGAGAGAGAAGTCTGGGCCCACCTGGAGCAAGAAACAGCTGACATCTTCTACTGTCTGTTTGTATGTAAGTCTGTTAAGTGACGATTCTCTGGTACTTTCAGTCCTGTGTGAACCAATGTGAATCATGTGAAAATATGTGAAGTTCCTCTGCATCTTTCGGGAGAACTGTGAACTGAAGCTGCGCAGCGAATGGCCTTCTCCTCTGCCTTTTCCACCTCCTTCTTCGCCTTTCCCACCTCCTCTTTCGCCTCTTTCACCTCCTCTTTCGCCTTTTCCACCTCCACTTTCGCCTCTTTTACCTTCAGCTCCGCTTCTTTCACCTCCACTTTCGCCTCTTTTACCTTCTCCTCATTTCCTGTTTCTCTGGCTTTTCCCAAGTCCTCCAATGCCATATCCACTTGCTTTTGCGCAGATGCTTGCTGGTCCAAAGCAAGTTTCAGCTGACGTCGTGCCGTAGTCAAAGCGTCAACCTGTCACAAGTGCTCATAGCGGAGCCAGTTTTTGCGGAAAAAAAACTAGAACGAAGACGGACCTGAAATAAGAACACACGGAATGAAGACTGATGAAATGAACCTCTTCAAATGGAATTGATGTTTTGGCCTTCATCTGCAGTCTGAGCGCAGTCTTTTGAAAAGAGAACGTTTCGTTTTGAAGAAACAAAACTGGACGCTGGATGACAATTCTGAAGCACATGTGACATGTGGCAGGGAATCTTCGAAGCAAAAGCAAAGTTGTTTGAAGGAAAAGGTTTAGGCTTTGAAGACAAAACGAGAAGGAACGGCTTTCAACCATTGGACAAAATGAAGTTGTCGCGTAGAAAGGGGAACTTAATTGGGCGACAGCAGTGTGCCTCATCTGCCGATTCCTGCGGCTTGGAGAAATGCTTCAAAACACGCTGAATCAATCTGTTACAAATTCCATGGCAAAACTTCATTCGTCACAAGGTCACCAAGCAAAGCCTATTCTGAACATAGGTATTGCGCTATGTTTGGGTCACATTTCTTCAAGCAAAAAACACATTTTTGGGGACGTCAACCAGCCCATCTCCTCGACTGGTTTGATTCCTTTTTGGTCCTGCGCCGAACCGAATGGAAACAGCAACGGTCAAAAAATACGCAGCTTTTAAGTTCCAACGTCTGCAAGCAAACAGTGCAACGGTTCTTCGTCTTGTAAGGTCCTTGGGCACTGCAAGCAAAGGTCCCACACCATGTCGCTTGCCAGGTTGCTGCGAACAAAAAAATCTGCATGGGCTCACCTTGGCGCAAATGCAGCCAGATCTCGATGGCTAAGTTGCGACCCTTTACTTTGATGTATGCAACTCCACTTTAGGATCTTTCAACTAAGAGTGAGGCAACAAACCACCACACAAGCCACGCGGCCAAAATGACCCAGCCTGTCAAGGTGAATTTTTTGTTGGCAGCTGCTAACAAGCACATGGAAGGCATAAACCTGTGAACGGCACATGAAAATATTGACATCGCTTGCCTCGTTTCCGTTGCTTTGTTCTCATAGCAGCATGACAGGGCCACCAATGTAAGGAAAAAAATGACAACAACTGCATGATCCCAAAATGAATGAACAAGCTGCGTGCTTCAAATGCAATCAACGTGACTTGCAAAACTTTGAAGACCACCTTTCTTGTTTTTCGAATGAATGATTGAACAAAAACCATGTCCATTGAGACCAACTCGCGGTGGCGAGAAGAGCAGTGCTAAGCCAGGCAACATGCCGCTACCGTTTCAATTAGCTCAAAGCGTGACTGAAAGCATTGGTTTTTCAAAAGCGAAGGATCCAAGCTGCTGGTCTGCAAATTCTCGACCCTTACCTGCGACACCTTTTCAAACAAGCGTTGTTCAGGCCACTGCGCTGCTGAGAATCGCATGCAGCTGCCTTGGTAGTCAAGCTGTAAACAAAAATCATCCAAGAACTCCCGCTGTGTCAAGAGCAAGTTTCTCCTCCTTTAAACTAATCATCAAGTTCGTTTCCGTGGAAAGATTTGCGTTGAGGAAAGGCAAGAAACAGGAAGGTCTGTGAGCGAAGGACAGCAGGATCACCTACCAACAGCCGTTGAAGAGTCCGCTGTGCGGATGAATGAAGTCTCACAACGTTGCGAGAGACCAGAAAAAACAGAAAAGTTTTCTTGCGAACATTGCTAGAAAAATGTTTAAATTCAAACTTAGGTTGAGACTCCAAATGTTTTAATGCTGATTCGCCTCCTGTGAATTTCAAGCCGAGAGCACAGTTTGGACAGAAAGACATCGTACGACCATCGAACGCTCATTGAAAAAGGTACGCTGTTGTTTTCTTGTGGCAGTTGTGAGTTGCGGCTCAGACTGTTCTGAAAATGAGCCACTTCAGCCGAAGTTGTTTGCGTGAACAGAAAGCAGCTCAAAGACTTTGCAGAAATAACATTTTGAAAGCTGAGACTTTGCACGTCAAGTCCTCTTGGGACATCTTCTTGATTTACTGTCCTGAAAAGCCAACCCTCCAAAGCGAGGGAGAAAACAAAGAATCTCTTTCTGCTCAGTTTCTGCTCTTTCTGATCTGTTTTGCACATAACTTTCTCGTGATCAAAACGGGAGAAGTAAGAACTGAAAGTAAACTCATGTAACTGTTGACGTTGTCTATGGGACTGTTGCAAAACATGTCATACCGGGGACGAAATTTTGTTCGACAGACCTTCTTGTGTTATTGAAGAAAGGTCCAATCCAAAACAAACTTTTGGTTGAACCTTATCAAGTAGGCAAATTTCAAAGCAACAAGTGTGTGTAGCACACACCTTTTAAATCAAAAGGTTAGATAAGAACACGACCACGGAGATGGACTTGTCGAAAATCAAAATCATGCAAGCATCAGTAAATCCTCTCTTACTGAAAATCAAAATCATGCAAACTCGGACAGCTGAAACAGTTTCAGTGAAAATCAAAAATCATGAAAATCAAAATCAAGCAACCGTGGTATGACATGTCAGAGACGCCGTGTCGATCGCACTTTTTGTCCTTCGGACTATTGAAGTGGTCGGGGGCCAAGTCAAACGTATGAGACGAAATCGAAGTCTCATCGCGAGCATTCTTCGATTTTTCAATTCAGGACAGGGAATCATTCCTGAATAGGTTAGAATGCCAAATCATGCACGCCAGTTCGATTCAAGGAATCATCAGCAGGCTATGCAATATCATGCAGGGGGGGGGGGGGGGTGGGGAAAGGAAAATCAGTCCACAAAGAAGTTCAAGTGGACCCACCCACCCACCCTTGAGTTGTAAAAAGAAATCGTTAGAAACATCTTTTGCGTGGCACCTGTTACTACTAGCTTCTTGTTACTACTAGTAAGGCACTTGTTACTAGAAGCTTCTTGTTACTACTAGCGTGGCACCTGTTACTACTAGCTTCTTGTTACTACTAGTAAGGCACTTGTTACTAGAAGCTTCTTGTTACTACTAGCGTGGCACCT